GGGTCTCCATTGTAGTGGGTGTAACACCCTAGGTGTTTGGCTTCCACAAAATTGCATTTCATTTCATAAACATATGCATCATCTATGTCATCATGCCATTGTCACTGAAACATACATATGCAACATTCGCAAATTCTGTTTGTTTCATACTTGATTGCTTATGAATGGTAGTAGTGCAACATGTGAATGCAACATGAGTTTCTTATACCTTGAAACATGGCAACATGGTAGGAATGTGGCCAGTTAAAAATTGCAACAAAAGTAATGAAACATGTGAAACATGGAATTACAACATTTGAGTGAATTGATTGTTTTGTTGCTTCATCATATGTGATCATTAGAAATTGGTATAGCACTTGTGTAAAATGGTTGATTATGGTCTAATACACCTTAACTACACCTTGGGTAATTGATGGGACATTGTTCATGTGGATCAAAATGACAAAAATGCCCTCAAGTGGAGGTTTGACTTAGAATGACCTATAGAGTGCCACTATTTGACTGATTCAAAAGACCAACTTAGAGATCTTGCATGGCTGTGCACTCTTTACCAAAGTTGTAGCCAATTTATCAAAGAACAAAAGTCTCAATATGACCATCTCATGAAAATGGCTAGAACATGTTCAAACAAGACCCACAAGTCATATTTCCATGCTGAATTCACACTTAGAAAATTTGCTAAGTCATAATCCAGTTTCAGTTGGATCAAGCCAACTTTGGCTTGATGTAACTTCTGATCCATGGAGAATTAGATGATGATCCTTGAATAGAAGTTGGAGATGGATGGTAGGTCTACAATTTTCATGTACACAGTTTTTGCAATGGATCAACAGTTTAGCCGTATTGACATGTTGAAGTCGCGCTGTCAGGCGGTTCAAGTCGTCTGAATGGGAACTACAGTAACTGACAGCATTCAGAAAATGAATGCCGCGTGTTTGCCACCCATCGTCGGCCGGCTAACCGTGCTGCCACGCGCTGCGGGCATCCTGGCGCTGCTGGCCACGACATGAGCACCCCACGCGCCTGCCCGAACGGGTCGTCAGCTCCATTTGCACTCCTTCGCCTCCACCGCGCGCAGCGACAAGCCACAGTCGCTTCTCCATTTCCGACCGAGTGTCGTCGTCACCTTGCGCGCTCGCCACTGCAAAAACGCATCGGCCATCTTGCCCCTAGCTTCGCCGTGATCTCCTCTCCCTCCTCCACCTTTCTGTCGGGTCGTTTGAGGCTCGGTAAGGGCGTATTCGCCATTTCTTCCACCGCCGCCATGGCGGTACCTCGCCGGAGTTGGCGCTCCACGTGGCCAACTGCCACCGCGGCCTTCCCATCCCCTCTTCCTTGCTTATTGAGGTCGGTAGTGAACTCCGAAAGCTCGTACCGAGCCTAGCCGCGCCCTACGGGGTCAGACCTCGCCGGAGCCGGCCAAGCCGTGGCTGTGCGCCGCCATGGCCGTCGCCACCCCCTTTAGCCACGACAATATCTTCAATTGATGGCACCATTAGATGTGCATGGGTGAGGCGAACACCGTAGCACCGATGACCTCGCTGGAGCTGCCACCGGCGATGAGTTGCGCCGCCGTCTCTTCTTCCTCCCCTGTCTGACTCACTGACTCGCGGGGCCCCATTGTCAGTCGCTGAAGCAGAGGCGGCAGCGAGTCCTAGGCCGCCGAGTCTGTTCGGGCCGGCCCAGCAGTAGAGTTAGGGTTTCAAAAATGTTTTGTTTATTCTTTTTTCACAGATTTGTGTGCATGTTCAAAAATGTGTATCTCCTAGTTGGTAGCTCCAAATGATGTGGTTCCAATTTTGTTGAGTTCATGATAATGTCTAGTTTATATTAAAAATATAATTTATGCCATGTTGTGTTATGAAAAATGGAGTTGCTAATTATCTCTTTTAATCATGAAGGAAATAGGGGTAATTATATCTTTTTCTAGGTAGCTCCAAATGGCATGAAATTTTTATGGTGTACTACTCATATCATGAATAGCTTGTAGTTAAATTTTCATATATTTTGGACACTATATGTAGGAGATAGAAAATTCTCTTGTTTGCATGGATGGATCTTGTGTGAATTTTCATAATTTTTCTATACATCCAGTAAAGGTAAAATTTGGTGAGTGCTATTCTTATGCTAGAATGATGCGAGGAAAAATGAGAAATCTGTTGCTTGACACTTTTTAATAGGGTTTCCCAATTATGCTAGAAATAGACATGCCACCTGTTATTTTGGATACAGCAAGTTCTGCTTGCCCAATGGCTTTGAAATTTTTATGGTAGTCTATGTGAAGCATGAGATAGCTACTGTAATTTTTGTAGATTTTCTGAACAATTTTACTATATATTGCTTTAATCACCTAATTGACTAAATAAATTAGAAAAGGATATTAAATAATTTATTTAGAAGTTGGCACTATACTTTCTGTTGTTCCTCTGATATGCACAACAAGATGGTAAACTTGGTTTGGTACAGTTATGCTTTTGCATCATCACTAAATAATTAATTTAGTAAACCTATCATTTCTGGACCGATTCTAGGTTTACTTAAATTCAATTTGGTTAACGTAGGAATCATGCTTTGATGTTTACAAATGATTTGTAGATAATTTCATAAGCTTTCCAGAATGTCCTCATGCAAGTCATTTGGATTTGTAGAACTCTTGTTGTGATTGAATTAAGGAACTACTCATGTGCATATGAAACTTTAACTGTTGATTTAAGTATGCCTTTACTATTTTCTAAGCTTGTGGTAATGTTCCTAGGTGTTAGGCCTTTAACTGAAGATGAGCATCTTTATCTTAGGTTATGCAAGTTAGGTAAGTTGATCTCATTCTTCAAATTAAGTTAGATACATGTTTAAAGTGATTTGAATAGAGCTATTCTTAATCGGTAAGCGAGTGTCGATGATGTTTTCGTTAAACATTTCTTTGTGATTCATTCATCAATGAGCATCATGTCATTCCTTATGCATCCATGATATTTATCTTGTGCATCGGCATGCAATAGGTGTACGGAAGGTGTGACACCTGCTGGAATTCGAGGAACCGAAGCGGGGGAGCAGCAGTGACGAACAACAGGAGATTTAGGGAGGTGCCCACGGGAGAGGTGCTAGGACGAGGTCGCCGTTGAGTGCCGGATCACCGTCCGTGCAACTTTGTGAAAGGCAAGCTCGAGACATATTAAGCCTCCTAATTTCCGAAATGCGATTAAAGTATTATTGTTACATATATATATTGTTGCATTAAGTTTAGGTGTTGGATGCAAACACTTCTTTGCATTGGTTATCAATCCTTGTCTAGATATTGATACCTCAATCCTATGTAGCTCAGGTTCATGTAGTGCTTAGCCCTACTTAAACGCGGTAGAAGTCGGGTGATTTCACATCACCCATGAGAGATATAGGGACATACATATGGCACGGTTGGCTATATTTGCTATCGTGGAAAAGAAACTGTCTTAATTTGAAATGAAGACCCAGGGCGGAGGCTTGCGGTTTGCGGTGACTCCGTCTGTGTAAACAAGGACTGAATCTTGGAGCCTTTTCTGTTCATGTTGAGCGCTTGCCTCTCTCTTAGTTGGCCGTGTCGAAGAAGACCGACCGAAGCGAGTAGCTCACCTCGGGCCTAGAGTCGATAAGTATAAAGTGCGCCTCGAGAAGGGAGCCGAGGCGTGAGTCCAAGGCGAGGTGATTTAAAAGTCTGATCGTCTGGCGGAATGGTAATCCACGAGAGTCTTTGGCGTTGATCGAACCCGCAATTTGGTTCTGAGTTGTCCCAAAGGTGACCACGGCTACCCTTGCAAAGTATGCAGGTGAGAGTTAGGAATACCCCTCACCTGAGTTGTAATTCGATTGAGTCGCCGTCTCTCCCGGTTAGTGAGAACTTGACGGGCTTATCTCCAAAGTAGATACACTAAATAACATAATGGTTGAAATGATGATATGATGATGATGACCTTATTATACCTGCTATGGTTAATATTGATTGCTCCTAATAAGTGAGTGCTCTAGTACATGTGCTAATCTAGTGGACGAAGTAAATGATGATAAGCTTGATGCTAAGTTTAAATTGGTTACTATGCTCATAAGCTCTTTTATGCAACTGTGTCCAGCTAGCCCACCTCATAAGCCTTGCATGACCCTTAGTGTCTTTTATTTCTGGTTTTGATGGGTAAGTCTAGCTGAGTACCTTCTCGTACTCAGGGTTTATCTCCCATTGTAGATGACCGGTTCTACTTTGGTTCTTGCAAAAATCTTGCCTTCTCCCGGTGGGGATGAAGACTAGACCGTTAGGCGTGGTCTCTCCTAGTTCTAAATGTCTGAAGATGCTTTTGTGGGACATGACTAAGATCGGCAATGTATTTGAAACTATGAAGTTATGTACTAAACTATGTTGCTTCCATAAATTTGAACTTGGTTTGTAATATTTTATTTGAACTCTGATGGATGTAATCCGAATGCTACTTGTGAAATGTTGTAACAAATGATGTGTTGTGTTGAATCACTACGGTCTTGGTTTGTATGTCGAGAGTTGGTTGAAATCCTTCGTGATTTCCGGACTACCGGGATTATGGGAGCTTAAGTACAGGAATTTGATCACTTCGGTGATTGTTTTTGTACTTACGTTCTTATGATTTGGTCGGTTCTGTTACAGTGGGAAGAGCTTATGATGCGTGCCACCGACGCTAGGTTGGATACAAAGAGGGGTATCTCGATGGATGTTTCAACTAGGTGGAATTCTACCTACCTAATGCGGAGAGATGCCTTGTACTACAAGGATGCATTAGCTGAAGTCTTCAAATCACCGTAGGTATGCCAAGATTTCTCCATCTTCTGCTGAATGGGACAATGCATTGACAATTTATGGTTGCTTGAAGAAATTTTATGATCTCACTAAAATTCTAGCTAGCACTTCATATCCTACTGCAAACTTATTTTATAGAGGTTTCTGTGATATAAAGCTCTTGCTTGACGACTAGTGTTGTAGTGGAGATGCTACAATTAGAGATATGGCAATTGCTATGAATGACAAATTTGACAAATATTGGCAGCAGTCCAACATTGCTCTAGCTATAGCCTGTTTTCTTGAACCTAGGTATAAGAAAAGGCTGATAGAGTACTACATGAAGAAGTTCTATGGTGATCATTATCAAGTTGAACTTGATGAGTTTGTTACTGTCGTAAAGAAATTGTACAACTTTTATGTTAATTCTGCTCCTACATCATCAAAGAAAATTAGTAAAGGGGCTGCACCTAGACCTAGTAACACAGCTGATATATTAATGGGAAATGTAGACCATGACCTAGAAGAATTCTTATATGATGCAAGTGAACCTGCTATGGTTGAGTCAAATGAGTTGGAGAGGTATATTGCAGAACCACTTCTGAAAATTGTTGGTGAGATTGACATCTTAGCATGGTGGAAAAACAAGAGAGAACAATATCTTATCCTTTCACAAATTGTTCGGGATGTAATGGCCATATAGGTATCAACAGTAGCATCCGAGTTTGCTTTTAGTGCTGTTGGTCGTGTTGTTGATCCCTATCGTAGTCATCTTGATCCTGAGATGGTACATGCATTAATTTGCACAAAGGATTGGGTTGCTGCAGCAAGAAAAGGTGCTCATTTTATCTATTTTTTAGTTAGACACACTTATAATTGTAGTAGAATAATGCATTGATTATTTTCCTTTCTCATTTTTTGTTCAGATTCTAAAATGGTTGGATCAATTGTGAGTGATCTTGAGGTTGAGGCTTTGGCTAATGTTGTGGCTAAACTGAAAATTGAGGTATGTTTATTAACTGCTTGCTCTGAAATATGCTAGTTGCTACATCTAATTTGAATTCACTTTGCAAACTTGTAGGAAAAGGACAAGGAGGGGGATGAGGAAGCAAAAGACATGAAAAGTGATCCTGACCTCATAGATGATGCTAATGAACTATAGATGTTTTGTTATCTATTAGTGTTAATTGTTTCTTCTAGACTTGTATTTGTGTGTCTGGCTATCAGCTATTGTGTTAATACTTAAGACCAAGGGTCATGCACTTGTTAATTATTATATGCGCTTGAACTTGATCATGCACTTGGTAATTTTTATGTGCTTGGGTCATGCACTTGTTAATTGTTATGGACTCTATGGGTCAGTATTCCATATTGAATTTTCGTATACCGACCATGTTCAACATAATTCTACTAGAATTGGTTCGTTTTCGATATTCCGTAAGTTTGTGTTCGTTTTCGTGTCTAGCTTTACCATTTTCGCATTCATTTTTGTATTCAAATGTAAATGTAGAAAACGGTTGAGGGGTTTTTCCATCATTTTTGACTGTTTTCATCCCTACGAATGATGGCCTCGAAAGGTTCTATGGCCTATTGTGGAATTTGACTATACACCAAGGGATCCATGTCAACGGGTTTCCGTCTGATGGAGCCGATGTTTAGGTCACTGTAGATTGTTCCGACGGTCACCAATGCCATGTGCGCTCCGGTGGACAAACCATACTGGGCAATCTCTTCCAGGCGCCTTGGGATCCCCCTCAGCTAGGAATCCACCTCTAACAAAGAGGCAAGCCCTCCCGGCTGGGCATAGGCCACCTGGCAAGCAGCGCGGCCAGCCATGACTATGCTCCTGAGATTATCCTCAAGGGATGACATCCGCAACACGTACTTTGCCTCCATGGCCAAAAGGGTCCCTGCGTGTAGCCAATTAGCTTCTACTGCCATGGCCTCTAGGTTCACATACTCAGACTTACACTCAGCAAGTTCATCCTTGAGGCACGTCGCCTTAGCCGACTCCGCTACGAACAAAGTGTATGAGTCCAAAAATCCGCATACAATCATAACACGATTCATTGTCGACAACAAGACATGCCTTGGAACTGCTTCTAGCGCTTCTCTATCTCTTCCTGAGCAAACGCCTGCTTCTGCCTCTCCCTCTAGTATGCGAAGCCTGAGCATGGAAAGTGGCCTTCTCTCGGTATAGCTCGACAATAGCCTTGGCAACAGTTGAAAAGGTAATAAAGGTTTTACAAGCCTCATCAAACATTAAGGAGAATGATCTCGATGGAAACCCCACCTTGGGTCTCGTCCTAATGGCACTTTAGGGCTGCCACCTCTCTTTCCAGCTCGGCTATTCGCACCTTTGCTTCATCGCCCAGCCGAGAGAACCTCTCCCGGATAAACGTAGACTTGGCCAAAGAATTCTTCTGAAGATACTACAAGAACGAGATAGCATAAGTCTTAGCTTCATTCAAAATGAATCAACCAAAGACTCAGGGGCTAGACCTATCAAGTCCATTGCACGGCCCTGAGTATAAACCAAGGGCACCCGATGCTCAAGGGCTAGGGCACCCAACGTGAATCGTACCTCCAAGGTAGCACTAAGGGAATCCCTAGAGGAGATGCTCTTAGTCTTCACGGCATCGGCAAGGGCTTGTAGTGCAGCTGACAAACTATCCGTGTCTTTTGCCATCCCATCCAGCTTTCAGAAGCCTGAGACGATACGACGTCGCTCCTCGACATCATTGAACAAGCTCTCGCCTTCAGTGTCGAAAGCTTGAAGTGATGGACCTCCCCCTCCTTGTTCGGCCCAAAACCCAAGAGGAACCAGGCGGACATCATCCACCTATGGGGGAGAGTTAATTCACAGCAAGACCCTCTCTAGGCCATCCTCTAGAATAACTTCTAGGGATGGCTCTAATGGGCCGGGCTCGTGGACCGCCTCAGTGATAGGCTCTTTCCCTTGGGCACCCACGCTAGGAACCCGAGCAGGTTTAGCCTACCCAAGCTCTGCCTAGATCACCAGAGAAACATCTTCCCGAGCATCCTCCAAAGGTGGTGCACCTATGTCGAAACTAGCCGTGAAATCATTAAGGGTATGAGCGACCCAAATCCTCTCTGAAATACTCAAATCCTCACTCTCATTCGAGCGAACTCCTAGAGCTATGGTATCACTAGCACTGCCTAGCGTGATCGTTTCAGGCCACCTCTCGGTTGACAAGGCCTTCAACTCATCACCCGATAAGACCGTGAGATAAAGGAATTGAACTTACTTGTTCTCATTACTCAGGACATCCAACAGTGTAGGCTTCATCTACCGCCTACGCGAGGTTCCTAAACGCTGCTCGAAGGGGACATACTCCACCTTCGGGCTGAAGTTGCCAACGACTAAGACCGTCCTAGCTGATGGCTTGTCATCGGTGGGCCTAGGCGACCCTAGAGCCCTCGGCACTGCGAGCAACTCGTGGTAAGTCGAATTCACACACGCTAAGGCCATAACTGGCCAAGGATAACCAACATACCTAGCACTACCATTGCCTGCACTTAGCGTTGCCTCTTTTTCTTCGAAGCTCCCTCATTGGTGCTGGCAGACTCTGCCATAGCCCTACACCTCCTCGTCTGCATGCCCGAACCGGCGCATTATGACTGACATGGCCTAAGCGGGGAGCGAGGCCAATGGCACCCAACTCCTCTCGAAGTGCGGATATCCCACCATTACTGGTGGATGTCTCTGCCCCATCGTCCTTCACTCCTAGACCTTGTCCAAAGGGGCCCTAGAGCAGTACTTCCGGCAATCCTACAAAATGGAGCAAGTTACACAAGGAAATCAGAATGGGTCCTCAGCTGATCACCAAACAACTGACACCTTACTGAGTTTGCATCATCTCTTAGCTTCGAGCTCAGGGGCTCCACTAGACGGTCTTTGCTTGTGAGCTAGGATTTTGGACCTAGCACCTTGTTGGTAACAACCAACACCAAAAGCGTGGTCATTAGCTCGATGGACTCCCCCGATAGACTAATGGTGTCAGGAGAGTCACACATCAGGGACGCATGTTCCCTTAGGTGCTGGATCCACCTTTGAAAGAAGGCCGCCAGGCAAGCCTGACCAGTAACCCCTCTCCTCTGGTGATAATCCTGCAGGTCACTCTCGAGTTAAATGCGCTTCTTCCCCTTTCGAGACTGGGAACCTCCTCTTTCTTTGCCAATGGCAGAGGGGGCAGGAGCTTGTGGGAGAAGGCTAGGGCCAAGCAGTCGTAAACATAAGAAAAACTTCTTTGCCCAATTTGGGATGTTGGAAGGGAGATCAATGTGAAAGAAGGGAGATTTGTCGGCTACCTTGATCCAAAGGCTGCCGGTGACCTTTCAGTCAGATTGAGGAAGAACATCAAAGCAATGATAGAACAACACCCAGTGGGGTTTGATTCCTGCGAAGTCCACACAATAGGAAATAAACATTGCCAGAAGCAGATCCTGTTCGGGGTCAGGTGGTGTACCTATGCGTCATGGTATCGGAGGAGATCTCAAACAAACTAGTGGATGGGCACCCCAAATCCGCGGCAGAAGAAGTCGACGAAGCTACAATCTCGCTAGAATCGGGGGCAGGCACATCCTAGCCAAGGGCACACCGGTAACCCAAAAGCTCCCTTGGCACCAGGAACCCCCCAACCACAAGATTCTTGATGTCCTCCTCCATTATTGTTGACACCTCCCACGAAGAATGGGGGATGGGACTCTATCCCCCTTTGCTCTTCGAGCTCGTATCTTCTTCACTTACTGAACTAATGGTTTTGGGTTTCTTAGCCAGGGTCTTTCTCAGTGCCATGACTGTGACTACCGGGAGAAGGATCTAGATGTGACAACGTCTGCTAGGTCAAGGTAAGCAGAGGAGTGAGCACTACTACTTTTGTCGGTGGCGACAAAGGGATGTACCATCTCCACCCTTGGCTAACCTATAAGGGAGGCTAATACTAGTCAAAAACCCTTATGGACCCTGGGCTTGAGGCCCAAAATTGCTGGTGAAACCGAAAGGACCAACATTTGGGAGCCACCAAAGCATGGCATAGCCCATCAAAGTGGCAGGTGCAGTCGGTGATTCTGGCTCAGAATCATGAAAGCCGAACCCTGCCATTTCTAGAGTGATGGGGATGTTCAGGGGGGGTCGCTAGCCGATCCTAAAACCTCTGGCCTCGAGGCTAAGTAAATCCTTTGAATGTTTGGATAGGCTCCAAGTACCTTATTTCAGTGGATGTGTGCCCCTCTGGGGGAAACCGAAAAACTGGTCAGCCCATGGCTACAACCAAAGTACAAGCTCCTGAAATCTAAAAAAAGAGTTCCATGACGTGCCCTAGCTAGTCAGGCTTCATCCTGTAGCTTCCGGATAGCGGACGTCACTTGTTCTACCCATTATTAACTCGACAGAATAGCTTACACCACAGCCACAGAGGCTTACATGCGTTCTGTATTCGCCCAAGTAGTCCTTGAGCTCTCGGGATTGCTGGCTTCCGGAGCCATGAACGATCGCACTTGGTCAGAGAAAAATTTTAGATCGAGTCGCCTTGCATAACCCATAGTTACACTAACTACCCATTGGGTTGGGAAGGGGGCCCGTAAAAATGCAAGGTCGAATTTGACTGAACGAAATTGTTCAAACCACCCAATCTAATCGAGAAACAAGTAGTAGTATTCGAAATCAACAAAAGTCATTCTTTTTCAATTAAACTCTGCTGCCTCTTACATCATCACGCTTATAATAACCAAAATCTATCAGAAACTGCTACAGTTATGATAAAACATCTAAGTTTAGGTTCAAGTTTGCTACTAAGGTGATGGACATCTCATGAAGCGTAGAAGTCAGATGAAGGTGCACTACAACCCTCTCCCTGCCTTCAACCTTCACAAGTTCGAACGACGCTTGGAAGATGATTCTAGGTGTCCCACCTCATGGAGCTTCCTCTAACATCCGAGAGGAGGAGAAACCCCACGAGGAGGGTGGCTCGTGCCATCTTCTGCGGCGTCGGGGAGGAGCGAACAACGTCGACTCGGCGGTGTCAAGCCTCCAAATCAATATGCGAGAGCACCTAGGTCGAGATCTACAGGGTAAAGGGTTTCCTAGCAACATCAAGCTACCCTTTGCCCTCTGGTATTCCCTATAGATATACTAACCCG